TGTGCAGTTTGATCCTTGTTGGTTTTGTATGCCAGACACTTCAGTGGTTGGTCAGTGTGTTATTTTGTAAGTTTTGTCCTTTTGTACGTGATACAGTGTGAACTTAATTTACATGTTAGAAATGATGTATAACATTTTGGCAATTGTCCTGTGTGTTATTATTACAGTCGTGTTCACTTTATACAACTTTGTCCTGCTGGAATTTGCAGTGCAATGTGCTAAAAACAATTTCAAAATCTTACCAAAATGAATGGCTTAAGTTTTAAACCAAAAATTATCACAATAATGGAAAAGTAGAAAAAAAAGCCAATCGCATGTTTTACTTTTGCGAATTTTGCTCTCTTCGGTCAAGACAGTTGTTAAAAGCTAGAGACTAATGCGAAAATACAGTTGAGACTTTTAGGACTTTGGTATCGAGAAGTGGTTGTCTAAAAGTAGTTTAAAGCCAATTATCCAAAGTTTAAGAATACACATTTTTTCGCGGTATGCGAGATTTTTTATTTCCCAGCAGAGATAATAAATCTTCGTGAGTTCAGTATGCAGGCTAGTTCTTTGACTAGAGAAGACAATATGCGAATTTATATGAAACTGTGGCTTGTCTTGGCACAAACCCTACGGCTTATATAAATTAAACTGCGTTAAATTTTTCCCCACTCTTTTTTACAACTTTGTCTTTCATCCCCGAGTTGATTAATGGCTCTTGTGTTAATCCGCAGTCTTGTATTCACGAGTCCGATTTCTCATTTGGGACAATCCGGAAATACCGACTGCCCTCGATTCGTTCCGCCCGTGTAGGTCAAACGGCCTGTGCAAAACCCGCCGAAAGGTCATGGGCGATGGCAAATTCGAACCGGTGACAACACGGGAGATGAGAGGGAAAAAAGGTCGCGGCTCGTGGTATTTGCAGCACAGGTGAGGGGTTGGAATGAGCCGGCACAAGGGGGTGGGTCTAGTCGATAGGTAGGCGCCTCCTAGACGCCAAACCCCCACAACCACCTAACCGAAAGCCGAATATCATCCCCAAACAGTAGCCGACGAAAAATTTCATGATCGATGACAACTTAATAATGACCCGATGACAAAGATTACATCAATTCACACAAAAGAAATATAGAAAATTAACTGCTCATTAATTTTAAACAAAGAAAAAACAAACAAAAGCTTAGTTAGTACACATCCGAAAGATAGTCATCCCCCCCCCCAAAAAATAACACCTGCTTATTTATTTCGTAGGTAAAATCTTAAAAAAAAGTTCTGTAAGGACGTCTTTTTGTGTTAAAAAAAATAAATTGAAAACTTGTTATTAAATTGGTGTAAGAAATTTCAGACCTAATCGATTATCACAAATCGTAACAGCACGTGATGCGCATTATCTAAAAATGAAAATACCTATACATGTTAGGTTTTATTTATTTTATAACTTTGCCTACCTGTGGTTGCAGTGAAAAAGCCAACCCACTTTGAAATTAACTAATTAATGTTTATTATATATAAAACTCTTTAAAAAGGCTATCTAAAGTCAAAACTTTGGTTATTTTTTAAGAAAACATTTGAAATAATTTATGCTCACGGAGGCATTTTAGAGATATCTTACACATACTTCGAATTCTTGATTCTATTTTACAGCCGTTGTTTATTATTTAAACAATAAAATTGATTGGCCATAAAACCCAAGGCAACTTGCGAAACTGCGAAGCAGATCACAATGATCCAGGTTCATCACCCTGCACATCCAAAGAGGAAATCTTACAAAAAGATTTTGTTCAAATTAATGTCGACTGGAAACAGACCATCATCCAAGTTAATGATTCCATGGATTAAATGAGTTTCTTACATTTAAGTCGATGAAAATGAAAGGGTCTCATTAAAAGAGATATGCAGAAGGCGGTGTGAGGTCTTTTCGTTATCGCGCTACAAAATCTCGTTTATGAAGGGGCACAGACAACCTTTGAGAAAAAATATCGTTTCTCTTGTGCAGATTTTGACTAACTTGGAAACATGCTTGTCAAGTTGGATAGGTTCAAGTTTTATTTTTTCATTAGAAAAGTTTAGGATCTCTTTGGGAGGGAAATTGATATGAAAAGCCTTCCGTTCAATTATCTAAGAAAATTGTGGGCGGTTGAACAACGTGATCCCGATTCGTCAAGGGTCGATTGATTTCATGAGGAATTTAAATCGTCCCAGGTCGAACAGTGCGTAATTGAAGGGCCAAGTCGACAATTACTTCTCCTTAGCTCTTTCTTCCCCAATTATAGAGGTCGTGTGTGTTTTTATGTCTTCCCTCCGAGGAAATAACAGAGGACTCAGCTTCAGCGTCATTACACGTCCTAATGGCAGTCCGTTCCCACAACAATGCACTCCTCTACCTGTCCTCAGCCTCAAATGCATTCACTACTTTATAAAATGCCCTAGGGGCAAAGCAAACAGACGGGCTGGAGGTATGGGCGTCTCAGGTTATCGTTTAAATTACACAGAATCTTTTCTTACATTTTGATAATAGCTTGCAGTATTTGTTGAAACGTTCAAAAGGAAATTTTTATAGAGATTTAACAAAGGGGTAAAACGGTCGTGCACGGTTGTGCAACATTTTGTTATCGATTCGTCCCTCAGGTAGACGGACGATTTAGATTCCGATCTATATCAACCGATGGAATGACTAAGCCGGGTTTAGCTGTGGGTCGAGACCGGCCGTTCTTCACCAACGGGCGCCCGCCTCGACTCGCGATGGTTAATTAGAAATCCAGGCAATTATCAAGAGCGGACCGGAGGGTGGCCACCTTGGGGGACCATTGTTCACGGCGCCAGACAACTTTCATGACTGCCGCTCTTTCCCCGAGACGTAATTGAATCTCCGAATTTGAAAGTCGCCAGGCTACCGCTTCTAGTACTAGATCTGCTTTTAGGCTTATTTCTGTTCAAAACCAAAAACAACTGGGGTGATTGCGTGAGTGATAGAATCGCAGGGAAGGAGTCCTCGGCTAAATGATGAAGTACGTCGACAGGTAGTGCATTCTGAAAATTCTTGAAAAATTTCTTCTTCTCCAAGGATCTTTCCAGCCCTATTATTAACAGGCATCACCCCAATTTATTTTCGAAAAAAATTAAGATCCAATGATCAAACAAAGCTAACGTTGACAACCTGATCCATGCCTTTTTGAGCAACCTCCAGTATCTTGGTAGCGATGGAAGACCCTTCGGACAGTTATTCTGGGAATGTTAAGCACCTGGCCACATACGCTTGACTACTGACTGAATCTGGATCACTTAAAACCATCACACAATCAAATTTGAAACTTAAAAAAATCATACCACAACGACAGAATGAAGCTTGACTATCCAAAGATTAGTTACAAAATCTAATTTAAACGCAAGTGATAGAGTTTATCTGTTTTATTTACCTCTAATCGTTCAAACCGGTCCAAATATTGTAAGATAATCAATGGTGGATTGTCTACGAGGTAATTAAAAATATTAATGATGACCATTTTTTTCATGTCATTCAGTGTAGCTCAGCTACTTGCAACCCATCCCAATATTCACTACTTACATTATGTGTTGGACTGTTAGTCTTTTTGAGTTCTGAGTGATAAACCAATATTTTGTTTCTGATATTTTATGATCAACTACTGAAATTTAGACTTGTACAAGCATCACCCTTTGTCCAATGAGTCGAAGAGAAGTGTGACGAACTTACAACTCGGTCGTTTCTGTTATTTTATCAACTACCCCTGAGGATCAGTCAGAATGAGAAATGATTCAATGACAATTTTAAAAGTATTTAGGTCCATTATATATTAGTGGTCTATTGAACTTGCTGCTTTCAATTAATTAATCTTTTACGTAAGGTTTTTGGTTGAAGTGAAAAAGCTAGTGCCGCTAGCGGGATTCGAACCCACGAACTTCGACTAAAAACGCCGTTGCTCTACCACTTGAGCTATCGTATCTTCATTTCAACCAAAAACCTTACATAAAAGATGTATTTAAGTCGTTCATTCAATCAACACGGACCTACCATTGAAGATACCCTACCAAAATAATCGGATACGACCAAATACATATTAAATTTGTTAGTAACTCTTGTTTCTTTGTTCAAACCGTTGCAATTATTGCCAATCCGACAAAACGAATCGTCATAGTTCTTACCAAGTACAATGACCGACCTTTCTAGCCAGCTTTACAGTGTTTTTAGCCTTGTTTTCATAGGCTATATCACTAGTTTTCCTTTGTTTACTTGAAATCTAAACTATGGTATTCTAAAAATGTAAACACTCGGTCGTATCCACGTTGTTTATTCAACCGCAGTCAATGAACTTGCCGTTGTACATCTATTTGTTCAAACTCATATATATTCCCCTATATTTGTGTATAAGATATTCAAACAAATGGGAAAAATAAAGTCTGGACAATGAGAAGTCAACATTTGGTGCAAATGCAACGATAAAAATGTATTTACAATATTTTTAAATATAAACTCGGCTATGCTTTTTAAAAGATCTAAATGGAAATGATCATCCCAATTGAATAAATCGCTTTAATCAATATTAGTCGTAAAACTCAAATGTCTAATATTGTTATAAATTATACTGTAAGGCTTAAATAAAATTAATTTCTTAAAAATTTACAAAATCGTTGTATGTTCACTTCTTTTGTTAAAAAGTAAGATATTCGATCGCTAAGGCCTTCCTTTTTAAGGTCATACTGGGAATGACCACAACACGCCAAAATATATAATGTACAACGAGCAATGGTTGTGTTTGAAATTTTGTAGTTTATTTTAGTGGAACTCTACCTTCGAACCTTTGCTCACGGGGAAGAAAGGAGTGGAGGGGGCTTAAGTGGAATAACATGTCTTAGCGAAGTAGATGCAAGAGGGGCCCAGGAGGAAAAGAGATAGAGGGAGACACGAGGAGGACCTGGTCACCTTGAAAACCGAAGGGGCCAGACCTTAAATTTACTACAGCGCGGCCGCCTGGCGAGCCAAAAATCCACAAAAGACTCACCTTCGCCGTTCGTGCTGAGCGACCCCCGGAGCTCAGGTTGGCTGCTTTCGCTCGGCGCTCGATCTGTAAAAAGAAAACAAAATTGTTTCATTCCGAGCCGTTATGGGTTTAGGCAGGGTCTCCGACCTGGATTTGACAGGTCGGTCTCCAAAGTGAAAGGATAAGCCTCAAAAGGCACAATGGCTAGTTTAACGGGTTTTGCGGATTATAGTGCAAGTGGATCGACTAAAATCCCATTTAAAAGAAAAACAACAAAACAGAATTAAAAAACTACCGCCTTAGTGTGATTTCTATCCAAGATTTTCGAAATCCACTCATAAGCTGATAATCCCACAATAATTAAAAAATAATAATTAAATATACTAGTTTTTGTGATCCGATTGACCAAATAATATCTTTCAATTAATTAATCTTTATTTAAGGTATGGTTTAGATAAAAAAGTCAGAGTCACGAACGGGATTCGAACCACGACCTTCGGCTAAATACGCCGTTGCTCTACCACTTGCTCTATCGTGACTTCGATCCACTCGGGCACTAATTTCCCATATCAACCCACCCTTTCGAATTTTCCCTCCGTTTTGTCATTTTCAAATGTCGTGTATGATTCTCGGCGACAAATAATTAAATACACTTTACTCAGGAAATTTATTAATTCAAAAATTAATTCAATGTCAGATTGAAAACAAACAATTTTGCTCATTTACAAGAGACAGTATTTTTCAAATATAAAATAAAGTGCGACCTGCCTTAGCAGTTTTACGTCGGTCGTTTTTTTAATCCAAGGATGCTTAAAACATGGTAACAACACAGTGAATCATAGTTTTTTTTCTAAAGTAAATAATCACCTAGTATGATTAATTTAGGTTTATCAATTTTTCCAGAATGGATTTTTAACTTTATTCGTCACCGTGATAGTGTGATTAATACCTATATTTGATTCAAAAATTTTACTTTGCAGTATACTGTATATCGTATTCATTTTTTTTTACAATTAATAAACAAATTCTCGAATTGAATGTATGAAGATGTGTGTTTGATATCTTATTGGAAAAAAAAATCGCCGACACTGCCCGTTTATAAGAAGAGGAAAATATTAAATTTTCTTTAATTCTACCACCGCTAGTTGCGTAAGGAGATAAACAATAGATCGCCTGCCAAGTAAATGCCACGAGGCACTTTCTACAGAGAAAATATGCCCCGATTATTAAGAAAAGATATTTGCGAAAAATCACACGCTATAATTTACATAAGATATTCACAATAGATAAAACATTCCCGATAACAACTATCATCTTTTTTCTTTATATCAGAACTAGAGTTATCTCACAAGTAAAACCAGAGAGGAAAAGTCAGAAAAAGTTTTACAGCAAAAGGGCTAAACGAATTATGTCAATTTTTATTTATTTATTTTTAATTGCCCAAGTTTAGCCTTAAATATTAATATTTATAGAATTTAATTAAGAAAATTTAACTCACCTTCAGGTTTGAGCCTCTCACACGAGGACCTACAATAAGGGGGAGGCGGAGCTTCTGAAAAAATACAAACAACAATTTCATTAAAAATACACATTCGATGTTAATGAAAAAATAAATAAATATATATTAATTACATCTCACAGACACAAAAGGAAGAGAAAAATGATGGAAGGGGAGGAGGTTTGACGACGGAATGCGACTCAACCTTGTTCTCGGCGTCCTAGGAAGGAGTTTATGCTAAAAATAGGGTAGCAGAGGAGTGCCTCGATCGGGTTGTGGACCACTCAAGGGAAACCACTGGGACCTCGCTCGGGATTGAAAACTGGGCCTGTCCGGTTTTCGAGAACACTGTATGGTCAAAGCCCTTGTATAAAAATTGTCCTCTACTGCTAGGTTGTTGAGGAAAAAAAACCAAGGTGGGTGAAATCCTCGTTGGTCATTCTTTAAATTTCTTCGTGATGTTCAGGTTTTATAAATAGAAATCGCGTAGTGGGGTTATATTTGAGCCGGGGTACACGGTGTGCAGCGTTGGCAAAATGTTAAACCGTGTCAAATCCTGATGCACCCGGGTTCAATAGAAGGGTGCAGCTCAGGCTAAAATTGACCAATAGAGCGTTGTTGAAAACTTGACCAGTGCCAGCTATTTCAAGGCCAAATTTGAACAAAGAAGGCGAAGAAAATCTACCAAAAATGTCGTTGACCTTTACAAAAAAACTATTATCAAAGATCACCACCGAAAAAAAACCCTAGACAATAAATCTTATTTTTGATATCGTCATATAAACAATAAATAAAAAATTGGCCTATGTGAAAAATAGGCACGGCTGAAATCGCTTATATTTCAGTTCACCGGATTAATTATTGATTTGTCTGTTGTGTCTGCATTTCAAGGCCCGAGGAAAGGTGAAATAAATTTTACCAGATTATTTTTCCCACTATCTCTAATTTTGATTATGAAATCCAATAAAACTGTGCCTCCAATAAAACAGCGATGGCATCACAGAACAAACATATTTGAAAAGATTATATATAGGGTGAGTTTAACCTTTGGCCCCTCATATATTTTTTTTATCGCGTGTTTTAATGAAAAACGCCGAGACACCTAAATTTTTATTTTTTGTCTAGTTTCTCATGGGCAAAAGTATTGTAACTTTCCATTATAATGGGATAGGAATTTAACTATTTCATATGGAAGGATATTCATAAATGTACATTTTTGAAAGGTTTTTGGACACTGAATTCATCGATGCAGAAATTTACCTAGGGCTGAATCGCGCTTTCAGACGTGCGCTCAAATAAGCTACTTCCAGAGCGTCTTTAATTGATATTTGAGGAAAATGTTCCAAATTTAGGCAAAACAATTTGCAAACTAGAAGAAAAAAAAAAAAGAGAGAGAGAGAGAGAGAGAGAGAGAGAGAGAGAGAGAGACAAATAGAGGGTAGATAAATGATAGATAGAGAGCAAATTAGCAAATAAGAAATTACACACAGAAAATATAACGATGATACAGAGCGATACAAGAAGGTTTTTCAACGTTAAATGCACCCTGTGTAATTAAAAGTTCTGGATCTGATTAGAAAGTCAAAGAAACTTGGAAATTCCCAAATATTGACAATTTTGAAATTGAATAGTCCAAAATAGAATCCTGCACGCTTTAATGTTTAATTTTATTGCAATTTTAAGACGAATTTCGATGGAAAAATAACCGACAATCATTAATAATACTTAAGATTATTAAAAAACTGGACGGATATTATATTGTAAAAGAGCACAATAAAACGAAATCGCAACTGTTAGAATTGAAGAAACAAGGGAAACGAGGAAGAAAAAAGGTTATATTGAGATACAGAGACTAAAAAAAAGAGAGAAGAGAAAGGAAAAAAAACGGTACAAGAAAAAATTAAATTGCTAAAAAAAACACTCATGTACGACGGAAATAAATAAAAAAGGATATTGACCGATGGCAAAGAGGATACGGGGTTGAGCATTTTCCAATTCAGTGTAGAAAAGACAATGCACCACCCGCTTAAATGGACTATCAAGTCACTTCTTAACCATGCATATAGTAGTGTACGTCAAATAGACACTGTATGTAGACTCAGATGGAGAAATGACCGACAAGGGCTGCTGAGTAGTACTTAAGTAAGGAAAAGCCCATGCCATGGAATACTTTGGTTTTATTTGCTTCACAAACCAACTAAACAAGATTTCTCGATTGTACTGGCACGAAATCGTGTTCATAGTAGTTTTATGAAAGCCGGTGGGATTGATGTAAATTTTGGCCCTATTGTGATCTCAAAGAAAGAAGAGGTTCTCTTCCCGGCTTCCTCTATGGACAAATTTCACATTCCCACCAGATTCGAAGCTATTAATCATCAGCATAATTGAACTGGAATATGGATGTGAGGTCTTGTTTAAATTATTCCGTCACGTTGCGAAAACATAAGCCACCGCAATAATGTGAAATTTTTTCATGAGAACTATGGGGTGATGAACCTGTAATTTGGTCTGATTATCACAGAAATCACACAGGCACTCTGAATATGGCGAAACTCGCCTGATACACACAAACCCAACGTTAACAGGTATGTTATCAGCTTTATATTGCGAAATTAGAAATCAATTATTTTAGCGTTTGCCAAGAAATTAATTTTAATTAGAAAATTGCACCAGAGGTTAAAGCAGGTGGTGAATTGTCTTACGGTGCATCCAAAATGCACCACCCTGAAGGTATTCTATTCATATGAAAAGGAATTTATAAGTAATGTTTGTATAGTACGCCTTGTTGTAAATCACTTTTCAATAGTTTAATCAATCGATATGAATAATGTCTTTCTGGCAAGGACAGCCATCCCACGTATAATGTTTGTGTCGGATGCAAAACATGATGGTTACAGAGGTATTTAAATTTATTTAAACCGATTTGAACGATATTGTGACGATGGGCGGAAATGTTTCCATATTCAAGATGAAAAGGATTTATATGCGAGAGCGTGAAATGACTTTTGAACATATGATTTTAACATAAAACAACTATTCAGGATGAAAAGAAAATCAGAATGCGAGAAGGCTTTTGAAGCGTTGTCGGTCAATTCAATCGCCTTTCTACAAGATTAGACGGCCCGGATTCAGTCCAAGTCACGGACGAGAAGTTATTGAAGCATTGTGTTTCCATTGTACGTGTGGCGCCTGTTTATTAATCGTTCTAATTACCCAGATGGACAATGAGGGCCCTCATGGACATTGTGGAAGGGGTTCTAGGAAGGAGACAAGAAGGCCTTGTTTCTAATTAGTGCCATCCCGAAGAGACATCTGCATCTGGCTCCCCACTAGGCCGACAATGGTCCCCTACAATGGCGCCACTGTTTACCAAACCGGGGGGAAAGACGGACCACCACGACCTATAAGGCAGGCTGATTTATAGCCCCTCGTTCGCCTTTCTTCGTCATTTTCTTCATTTCGTCCGATCGACCTTTTGTTTTCCTCCCGACGACTAGACTCCTGCTTTTATTCCTTTATATTATAAAAGTCCTAATCTATCGTACCGTTGCTCTACTCCATGTAAATAGACACATAGAACGGAATTGAGAAGCGTTATGTCTTTGCGTGTTGTTGAACCTTTGACCGTAGACTGATTTGATCGATGCCTTTCGGCATCTTTGATCCCACCCAGCTCACAAACCAACAATTATAATATTTTCTTCTTTCTTCTTTATTTTATAATATACAGTAGAAATTGTTAATACCGACACTGTTTATAAAGTTCAAAATCTCCGGTCCCCTGAAATGTCATAAGGAAAAAACATAGGGAACCGTTTATAACGTACCATCGGTTATAGTGGGACAGAACCCAAAAGTTACCCCAGCTGCCTAATGAGCCTAGGAAAGATCCTTCCTCCTTTTTTAATCCTAAATGTTTTAAAAAAATCACTAAATCACTAATTTAAAAAAACCACGAACTTGGTCACTTCATTATTCGGAGATCGTGACATGCGGTCTGGTGTGACGTAGGTTTTAGAAAAACATTTTCTTTATCGTGCCAACGTTTCGATCTTTACTGAGATCATCTTCAGAGTCTGGGATTTATAAACATGGTTTGAATTTTACAAATACATGTAGGCTGTGGAAAAAAAATTATGAACTTATACAATGCTGGAAAATTTTAGTCACTTCAGTTGAGGAAAAATTCGCGACAATTTCTCGGACCGAATCGGGAGATTGTACGAGCAGTCTCGCAAATAAAATGGGGACGCGTCTCGTTGCAAAATATCGGGAATTGTGAAAAATAATTACAAAATATTCAAACACTGTAATAAACAACAAACCATAACATTAAAAAAATACGGTCCAAAAAAAAGTGGAAAAAAAAAGACAGACTATATACTATAACGAAACTGTAGTCAAATAGCTCCATTCACATTTGTACATACATCTATACATATATGTATTAATAATTTTAAAATGTTTATGTACATAAATCATTTTAACAAGATAGTATGTATTTTGTACTTCCTCATAGACCTGGATGAATTATATAATTAGTAATTATATAATAACTTATCTAATGAAAACTGCTCTTCCACAAACGTACATGCCTATCATTAGATGAAATTTCAGATATAACGAACTGTTCACTATGAGCGATATATTGCTTATATTGTACAATTGAATACCGCTTATAATCTACAAAATTTTATGGTACCCTGAAGCTCGTTATAAACGAATTATACTGAAGTTTGGTCTTTCCAATCCCACCATTTTCGTCAGTTAAGCAGACCTAGACACATAATTACATCAAATTTTGAATGAAAAAATGGTAATTTAAGAAATACCACGGAGAAAACACAATCAGCGTGCAGATAAAAATGATAGGTAACGACTAAACAATAGGTTCATCACCCTGAAGACCTCGAAAGGCCAAATCTCTCAATTAAGACAATGAAATTTCCGGTAAAGGACTCTTCTGGAGACACCTTTGAAGTCGCAAATGCACCGGCCTGGAAGGTTCATTTTCAATCATTTAGCATCACTACTTAGGAGACGCTTTAAATAAA